AAAGAGAGCCTGGCTGTTAGCGTCCCCTGCATGCTTTTTGCTGATGGGTGAACTTTAGCACGCGATCTTTCCTCTGATGGCAAAGCAGGGTCCCACACTGGTACCAAGACCTGACTTATTCCTTATTCTCCTTTTCCTCCTGACATAGCACCAGCACCTGGACAAACAGCAGGGTGTAGCACAGGGTGTTTCAATATTGCCCTATCTTGAAGGCAACTAGATACCTGTCACCTCTTTCCTCTCTCCCCCAGCCACCAGCAAGAATCACTCCTACAGGACCTCGTGTCGCTCTGTACCGTCATGAAAAGTCATACCTCCCTTCGCAGCTGTCCTCTTGGCCCTCCTCTGTCCATAACAGCACATTTGCTCCAATGCTGTAATCCTCTGAGGCATTCGTTACCCAGCCTGCCCAAAGGGATATTTAGAAGCATCAGGTTTTGCACAACTTTGTTCCTGAGTTGCATATTAAGGCAGAAGCATAAGAGGAGCTTCAGCACCCCCCAACAGCAACACGGCATGGGCAGAACAAGGCTTTTTATATCGGAGACAGATACTATGAAAAGACCTCCCGATTTAGTAGCTGTTCTGTTCATATCACACATTATTGCACACATTCTCTTTCTTTCTTGCCCAAGTCTGAAAACGGCGTGTGTAAGAATAGCAGCTTCTTACTTCATCTGTCTGCTTCCTATGCGTAGTCACAGTCGGGTTTGCTTACATTTGCATCGCTCTCTGCGGCTCCTATTTACTATCTTCCACTAATTCAAATGAGCCAACACAGCTCAGCGCTGCTGCAAGAGCCACCTTTTCTCCTATAGCATATTTTCTCCTACAGCCTGTGCCCAACCTCAAGCGCGTGAGATTTTTTTAAACTAGCCGATGAAGTCCCTTTAAAAACCGTATGCAAAGCTTACAAAAATAGCTGCCTCAGGAATGCTTTATTTGATAGAAAGGGAAGTAAACAGCCCATACTGGCTCCACCCACAAGTCAAGGTAGTGGCCTGATAGTTGTCTCTAATTAAGTCATAGAAACGAGTTCATTTTCAAATAGGACCATAATCCTTTTATTGCTGCATAGGGCCATCCTCTACTGACCAAGCTATTGCTTTCCGCTAGAGGGAACGCATGTCTCTCCAGCACATCCTCACACACTGCAGCACCGTCATTGCTTCCTAAGCAGAAATTAAAACAAGTGCATACATAACGATAGTAACTACAGAGGGCTTAAAACAGCCGGGAATGGGAGCAAGCCACTTGTCTACAGCTACTGTAGGGCTTCCTTCCTGTGATGCTGCATTGCATGTTGCACAGAGAAAAAGGAGCAGCATGCTGAAATCCCAAGCCTACAGAGATGGGGTGACGCTGGATTTACACTGGCCTAGCTGGGACTGCAAAATGAGTTAAAAGTTCAGGTGTTTACACGACCTTGTGAAGACGCTCTATACTCTCAGCAGACTGCTGTGTGGTATGTAGCATCACCAGTGTCCGATTTGCGTTGGAAACCCTGTCAGGATTTGCACAAACCCCATTCTTGATCCCTTTTGGTTAACTGACATTTTGCTGCTGACTCCTGTAAGAGCAAGACTACCTTATTAGCAAATCGTGACAAATGCAGAGCATTTGCAAGGCCTGCTGAAGTTCTGCAGGACCGGGAGCACTAGCAGGATGTGTCTTGGGCCTTGCAGAGCGGGGATATCAACCCCTGGGTTTGCAGCGTTTGTTCTCGTTACATTAGTGAGCAGTGACCTGTTCCTCTCTTGAGGTCCTGTCTCTGTGAAGGACACCCTGGACACTGCCTGTCCCCTGCCTGGACACCCTGGACACTGCCCATTTCCTGAGGACACCCTAGACACTGCCTGTCCCCTCAGGACACCCTGGACACTGCCTGTCCCCTGCCTGGACACCCTGCCCTGGACACTGCCTGTCCCCTCAGGACACCCAGGACACTGCCTGTCCCCTGCCTAGACACCCTGGGCGCTGCTCGTCCCCTCAGGACACCCAGGACACTGCCTGTCCCCTGCCTAGACACCCTGGGCGCTGCTCGTCCCCTCAGGACACCCTGGGCGTTGCTCGTCCCCTCAGGACACCCAGGACACTGCCTGTCCCC